ATGTTATTGAGACCAGACGTCCAATTATTAATTATTTAAATGTATAACATCTTAATGATTGTGAAAGTGACATGTCTACCATGTAATTTAGAATCGAAAGATAATCAAGAAACAGAAGAAGGCCAGTGGCCGAAAGGTCCTATAAAATGGTTTAATTACTACACTAATGTAATATGTGTTTTCTATTAGAATTTCTAAACAAGAATAAAATCTTCTATGCAAGTTATCATTGGACAAGTCCAATATTGTATCTACATGTAGACCTGCATTGCTGGATGCCATTGATTGAGGTAACATGTATACTGAAGGATAACTGATCATTCCCTATCATTTTTGATGAACATTTTATTTTACAGTGAGCATGATTGGTGTTGTAAAATTTCAAACTTTCTGCAAACAGAAGTGGCTGCATGGTAGATTTAAAATTTCTTACACGTTCAACATTATCAAGCTGCAGACCTAATATATATCCTATCTATCCATAGAAGCCAAGAAAAGTTTGATGAAAATTTTCATTTGTACAATGAGTGCTGTAAAATTTCAAAAATATTGGCAAATAGGATGTTGCTGCACTGCAGCTGCTAAAACTGGTTACACACTACAATAATTTAGGCCTTCTTTTACTTTAGGGGTCCAATCCATACAAATCTATACTAAACTATGCTTAACCCTAAACCTTACCCTAACCCATACCCTAACCCATACCCTAACCCATACCTAACCTTAACACTAACCCTAACCCTAACCGAGAATATCCCATAACCATAAATGAACCCTAACCCTAAAGTAAAATGACCATAATTTATCAAGCTGCAGACCAAATATAAATTATTCCTGTCAATAGAAGCCAAGAAAAAATTGAGGAAAATTTTCCTTGTACAATCGTGTTGTAAAATTTCAAACTACAATGTAATGGCAACCAGGAAGTGGCTGTAAGTGGATGTTAAAACTGCTTAAACACTACAACTCAACATTATCAAGCTGCAGACCAAATATAAAATCATTTTCTTTCATGGATGCCAAAGATTTTTTTAGCTGCAAGCATTTTTTTTTGTAAAGTTCTGCATGGAACAGAATATAGTCAAGAGTTTTCTTCAATAGTGAACAACTTACAAGAGTCCATCAATGGTAAATTGAGTTGTTTCCTTGTAATGAATGGAATAATTCTGTATCCAAATCATTTGTTGTAAGCTATTTTTCATTTGAAACACAATTAACCTATGGAAAACAAATTATTTCCATCCCTATTATGTGAATAAAATCTTTTTTATACCAATACTTTGACGGAAATTCTAGCCAACAGAATTGACTTTAATATGAATAAAAAATGCAATTTGATAGTAAGGCTAAATCATAAAGCTCAACTTAAACACTAAATAGAGGTAAAGTCAACCATTTAAGTCTATTACCAAATAAAAGTGTTTTTTTTTTTTTCTACTCAAGATCATCTGACAAATTTTATTTTTGATATAAAGTAAGAAGATGTGGTATGCATGATCACCAATGAGACAACTCTCTACCATAGACCAATTGACCTGGAAGTAAGCAAAACTTGTCTTCCTTGAGGCTGAATATGACTGCATTTTATACATCTATGACGTAGCACTGGGCAGCAGGAATATTGTACATCAGTTAAAGATGTATTTTGGTGCTACTTCTTAAGATGTCAGATATTGGGTAACTTAATTGTCAATGGTTTTAGAATTAAAAAAAGTACATGTAAATTGTATGAATATTTTACAGCATGTATACATTATAAATGGGATGGCACAGTATTTAAAGATGACCATCTTAAAAAAATATATATCAGAAAGGTGGTCAAACAGAATTGATGCTTTATTTCTATTACAGTATATATATCTATGGTCATGGGTGGTTGACTTGACCATGACAAGAGGCTACCAGAGGATATGTTTTCCTTGTCTACTGCTTTGAATAGCTCATAATTTTAAGCCTTAATTGATCTTGAAGTACAATCTTTAATTTCTTTGTGTCATCCAAGTGAAAACTATATTAAAATATGCTTCTCAATCACAGAAAACACATGTCTATCATAACACTCATATTTCTATTAAGAATGCTAATTATAACTGTTCTCAGTTCTTGGTTTGACTGGTCAAAAACAACTGTTCAGGTGTTGGCTTATTGCCACTCTGTCCAATAAAAGGTTTTCATGGTTATTAGTCATACTTGAGTGAATATCACCTCAAACCAACTTTTGAAAAGAATTTAAATCTTAGAAAAGACTGCCTGTTCAGATGTTGTGCTGAGGGATATCAACATACAACAAAATGTCTACTGCTTGCTACATATGTCTCTGCTTACGCAAAGGTTTACAGATTAATGGTAGGATACAAACTTTTGTAGGGTCATCTTTTTACATAGATTAGGTGAAATTAAATGTCAATCTGACAACAACTGAATAAGAAACAGCATCTGTTTATATATAGTGTTATGACTGGATACAAACTCACTGTTAATTTAACATATTAATACATTGTATCCGGGGCTCAAAAAGGGTATATACTATATATAGTAATATATAAAGTATATTATAATTATTGTATGGCGTTCTAAACTAGGTGTTATGAAGCGTAAATGTTTTATTCATATAGTCTAGAAGAGCTGGGATGTAAAATAGTTATCCCACTCGGACTTGGTGTGTCAGTGTAAGATCACCCCGGAGGCCGGAGGGTGATCTTACACTGACACACCGCTTCTTCATGGGATAACTATTACTGAATCTTACTCTGGACAAACATAATTGTACCCTTGACTTTATCATGTTAATTACCTGGGCAAGAATCTTTGTTCTTGTTTGTACAAATTCCTTTATTATTGAACAGTAGATCTAACCTGTTTACTATACAGACATAGGGATAACAATCAAGTGGTGACGGTGTAAACTATTTGTATAAAACTTTATATTTCAGAAGGTAGAAGACCTTGATGCTTCATACCTTTTATACAGATACATTATATTACGAAGTTTCTGTCTGTCAAATGTCCATTGTCCTTGACCTCATATTCATGGTTCAGTGACTGTTTGAAAAAAAAATGCAGTTTTTTTGTCAAAGGAAATACTCACTTATTATGAGTAATAGTATAACTATATTTGGTAAATGGATTCCTTGCACGGTCTACATGTCCGTCAGGTAGGGTTTATCTTGACCTTGACCTCATTTCAAGGTTAAAGTATATGGTCAAGTCCTTATCTCAGATACTATAAGCATTAGGTCAACTATATTGGGTATATGGAATGATTGTAAGGTGTACATGTCAGACTGGCAGGTTTCATCTGTCCTTGACCTCAATTTCATGGTTTATTGGACAATGTTTAGTTTTTGTGGTTTGGATCTATTTCTCAATAGGTCAATTATATTTGGTGTATGGAATGATTTTAAGGTGTCAATGATAAGTTTCATAATTTTGTTAGTTTATCAGATACTATAAGCAATAGGTCAACTATATTTGGTGTATGGAATGATTGTAAGCCGTACATGTCTGTCTGGCAGGGTTTATATGAACTTGACCACATATTCATGGTTAATTGGTCAATGTTAAAATTTTTTGGTTTATTTTGTTTCTTGGGTACTATTAGTGATAGGATCACTACATTTGGTGTATGGAATGATGTGTAAGGTTCACATGTCTGTCTGGCATGGTTCATCTCTCCGGCACCTAATTTTCATAGTTTATGTGACACTTGTAGTAAAACCTTCATATTACAGACTTTCATGTTGTACTGTTACACCACAGTCCCAGGTTAGGGGGAGGGTTTGTTCCAACAAACAAGTTTAACCCCGCCAAATTTATATATGTGTCTGTCCCAAGTCTGGAGCCTGTAATTAAGGGGTTGCCGTTTTTCGTTGATTGTTTCTAAGGGGAGGGTTAGCACCTTTAAACATGTTTAGCCCTGCCACATTCTGTATGTGCCTGTTTCAAGGCAGGAGCCTGTAATTCAGTGGTTGTTGTTTGTTGCTGTTTATGATATTTGCTTTTTGTTCATTGTTTTGTACATAAATTAGGCCATTGGTTTCCTTGTTTGAATTGTTTTACATTTGTCATTTCCGGGCCTTTTATAGCTGACTATGTAGTATTAGTTTTGCTCATGTTGAAAGCCGTACAGTGACCTATAGTTGTAAACTTCTATGTCATTTGGTCTCTGGTGGAGAGTTGTCTCATTGGCAATCAAACCACATCTTCTTATTTTTATATTTCAACATGAATTCAATGATAAGTAAAACAGGCGAGACATTTCAGTGTGTGCACTCTTGTTTATTCTCCAGACTACAATAGTGGAGGGGAGGGACAGTATTCTCCTTAATATATGTTTGTTCGTCTACCATCAGGTATTCTTCAATGTGAAGCAGCCCAACAATACAAACAACAAATAGACATCTAGAGTACAACAGTCTTTAACAATAGACAGATGTACAGATCTATACAATATGTTAAACCCTAAATTGTCAGGAGTTTATGAAAGATGTGAATGAATTAAACAGAACCAATGAAGGATCAAGAGTTAAATCCCAATTCTCCAAATAAACTTTTCTGCGATTTCCGAGTCAGGTCCTATGATATGAGAAAAATAAAGATATTTCTGGTCAAGTTTGAATTTGACGTAAGTCTCATATTTATTTGCATATTAAAAAATGTGTTGGTATACTACATATACATTGGTGAGCAGCAATCTATGTTCAATCTATGTTCAATCTATGTTCAATCTATGTTCAATCTATGTTCAATCTATGTTCAATCTATGTTCAATCTATGTTCAATCTATGTTTAATCTATGTTCAATCTATGTTCAATCTATGTTCAAGAATGGCATCTACTTTTACTTTTGAATCAAACATACATGACAGAAATTCTCAGAACATGGATGACTTTTAATGTCACCTAAATTTCATCACATTTATGAATTAATGTGTATTCCTGTCATTTTAACTATTTATATTTTTGTGATTCCAGTAGTTAATTTGTACCTTACATTATAGGGGTTCATGCACAAGGTGTAGCAATAGATCATACTAGAGATATCATGGACATGGAGATAGATGATATCCAGAATAATCTGACAGAAGAAGACAACAGACCCGTGGAGGATATGGAAGTAACAGATATAGTTGTATGTTATTTTATTTATAAAATTTTGGTTTTAGTTTTTCCCTTCCAATTGCACATTTCTGTTACGACTATTTTTTCAATTCAAACTCATGTAAGTGACTTGTAGAGGGAGTAACTAATTCCTGGTCAAGCACTGTACATATCTGATAAATAGACAGGTGTATTATGTGATAGAGGATGAAGTCGGTGTTAATAGTTATTTAAAATACTGGAACTTATCCTTGGGAAATATCTTTATTGCCTTCTTAGTTGAAACCAGAATAATAAAAAAAAAAACAATCCATTTTCCAGTCTACAAGACATTAGGTCTTTATCCCTTCCTGTTTGAAACCCATATAAAGAAATTTAATTACCTGGTTTACAAAATATTATGTATTTATTTTTGCTGCAATTTCTGTTGAAGATGGCAGCTGAAATGTTCCTGTTATTGGTCATACTTTTTTGTGCTTTCTGCAATTTTAAATGTTACACCATTCACAATGTAAAAGTGGCAAAACTAAAATACTACTGAGCATACACCCTTGCTTATTCAATTGGGAATTCAATAAGCTGATTAATATCTTTGCAAGCTATAAAAACAATAGACAATTTTGATTTTCAGGACATCTCTCAACTTATGGCTGGTTTTTCCTTACATTAATTTGTCAAAGTTTTTAATTTTGAATTTTTTAAATAGGAGTGGTATTGGTTTTTTTTGTAGGTGAAAGAAGTCAGAGCAACTTTGAAAAACCGATCTACTGAGGTAAGATTTGATTATTGGTTTTACACATGGATTTACATGAGATAATAATATCATGAAGTACTTGGATATAACCACAAAGTGAAAACAGCAGTTTTAGTGTGGTTCTTCATCTCAATTGTTTCTTAAAGATCTTTAGCAATATATTTCTTAAAGTTATCACTTTTTACTGCCAGAATATCCATAGCATTGATGTGTGTGGCACTCCTTAATATTGATCTATAACTGCTGCATAACTTCATAATGAATATGCGGTTATTTTTTTTTTTTCATTTTATTGTTTTCTAACATTTTTAACAATTAGGAATTTCTCTGTTTTACAGTTTCTAACTGTCTAGTCTATAAGAATGAATACACTTAAGTATTATTTTTATAATATATAACATTGTTTTGTTACTTCAGGTTGTAGGAATGTTAACTGAGATGATTTCAGAAGATACCAAAGTGACTTCCAAGTACCAGTCTCACAGGGTAGGCACTAAAGAACCCTTGTAATAACCCTTCAAGGGGTCTGTAGGTGGTTTGTTGCAAGGCAAAATATTTTCTGTCCCTTAGCAAGCATATCCTGATTTTCCAGTGACTCCAAATTTCCTGCCTTTTATACAGTGAACCTACTTTGAATAACCTGTCAATCATATTAATTGTTAATCCCTTCTTGTCCTGAATGTGCATGAAGTATTTACACCTGGCAAGCAACAACCAATCATTCACAGGGTAGGTAAGATCAATTGTCAGTAAAACTACCTCATACTCATCTCACAGGGTAGGTAAGAACAATTGTCAGTAAAACTACCTCATACTCATCTCACAGGGTAGGTTAGAACAGTTGTCAGTAAACCTACCTCATACTCATCTCACAGGGTAGGTAAGAACAGTTGTCAGTAAAAGTACCCCATACTCATCTCACAGGGTAGGTAAGAACAATTGTCAGTAAAACTACCTCATACACCTTTCGCAGGGTAGGTAAGATCAATTGTAAGTAAAACTACCTCATACTCATTTCACAGGGTAGATGCAGTGATCAGTAGCTATACCTCATACAGATACTACTCTTAGAAGGTATGTGTAATCACTACCTCATACACATCTCAAAAGGTACAGGTTCTCATCTACAAGGTAGATGTAGTGATCAGTAACTGCCTCATACTGGTACAACTCTCAAGAGGGTAGGTATAATTACTAACTCATACTCATCTCACAAGGAACAGATACTCATCCAAGAGCTAATTGTAAAAAAATTTGAGAGCATATACTCATATCCCAACCTTTTTGATAAAGTTCATGTTCTTCAATCTGTAATGGTCTGTGTAGTGTAAGGACTATTGTTTGTCTTTTTCCTTTTGACAATGGTGTTTTCTGTCTTTCTTTTACTATAGGTATCTTCTCCCCATTTTTTCATTAGTATTTATATTTCATTGTTTTGAAAAAAGAACTTTTTTTAGATAAGAGTGGCCCCTAATATAGGGGCCAGACAATTGCAATCTGAAGAAGTTTTAAAGTTTTAAAATAAAGGGGTTTAAATTTCACAATGTCAGAGGCTAATTTTTATTTTCATGTTTTTCTTGTCATTGATTCTAAAGTTCCTTTAAAATCAAATTTATGCAAATGATATTATCACAATTCTGTCTGAATTGGAAAATTATTGGAAATATACCAATACGAAAATTTTGCATTTCACAGTATTTAAACTTATTTTTAAGTGAACTACAGATAATTTCTTGTGATGACAATTATATAGAGCAGTATTTATGAATTTGAAGTCTATGAAAATACCTATGTACAATTTTGTAATTTAGATTTTTTTTTCAGGGTTTATTTATAGTTATAGATACCAATGTTTTAATTGGAAACTTAAGCTATATTCAAGACCTGAGAGATAGAAATATTCCTGGTGAGTTGAAAAAAGTAAATGGTTTCATTGAAGTACAAAAGCATAAACAGACTTGATAGGATGAATTTGTTAATAAACTTTCAAACAATATTTACTTTTTGTAAAATTTTATCCTCTAGATGTGTATTTTGGTTAATTCAAGATATTGGGTTGCTGTCTTATTGCCATGAACAGTTACTTATACCCCACATATCTTTTTATTCATACTCATTTATAGCCCCAAAAATATATTTTCTTACCTTGAAATAATACTTTTTGTTAAGTGCTGACATAAAAAATGCTTTTGATTGATTGAACACTTATGTGAACAGATACACATTGAATGAGCATGTGCATTTCTGTAGCTCTATGGGTAGTATTAAATTTCCTTTTGATTTTTATGCCCCCGCCATCACCGGAGGGGGCATTAAGTGTTCTCCTTGTTCGTCCTTATGTACGTCCTGAAATTGGTTTCCTATCTCTAACTTCAGTTTGCCTCAATCAAATTATATGAAACTTATACACAATGCTTGATACCACAAAACACAGATCAAGCTCGAATTTGGGTGGCATCACTTATATCGTTTTCCAGTTATGGCCTTTTATAACATTATAAGCAAATATATTTATTTACATCATTTAATAAGAATGACATAACATTTGTATTTGCAGCTCATGGTAGACCAATTTTAGTATTTCCATGGGTTGTAATGCAGGAATTGGACTATTTGAAAACAGGAAAAACAACAAGTGCTTCACTTGTAAGTCAAGAATATGTTTGGAACTTGGATACAATACAAATACAATACACTGAACATGCTGAAGGATTAAAGTGCTTTTTGACAATACTTTTATCAGGAAATTTAACTTATTATTGGACATTGTGAGACTTGGTCCCAATTTCTTTTACAAAACAAGGCTGTGAAAACCTTTAAATTAAATAATTATTAAAGTTTTTTTTTCTGATCATGGGTTAACAGTTCAGACAAAAAATAATTAAGAAGGATATTTGAAATCTTTTAGATGAAAAAAGAAAGAGAGGCAAAATAACATTCAGCAAGAATACCAAAAAAACATTAAGAAAAAAAAAACATCTATACTATAGAATTTGTTCTAAAAGTTATTTGATTCATATTGATTTCAACTGCACTCAAAGCTTGAGTGAAAAAGGTTAATGTAAAGTTTCTGAAATGGACATCCTTGATATAGAAGCTAAAAATCTGTTTGAGTGAATAGAAATCTTGAATGTGTTAGAAATGGAATTTCAAAGTATTCCTAGGGAACGTTAGATATTATTAGCTCACCTGGCCTAAAAGGCTAAGTGAAATTTTCTCACTACTTGGCGTCCATCGTCTGTTGTCGTCTTCGTTAACTTTTACAAAAATCGTCTCCTCTGAAACTACTGGGCCAAATTTAACCAAACTCTGCCATAATCATCATTAGGGTATTTACTTTAAAAAATGTGTCCGATGACCCCGCCTGCCAACCAACATGGCCGAGATGGCTAAAAATAGAACATAGGGGTAAAATGCAGTTTTTGGCTTATATCTCTGAAACGAAAGCATTAAGGGCAAATCTGACATTGGGTAAACATGTTTATCAGGTTGAGATCTGTCCTCCCTGAAATTTTCGGACGATTTAGACAACCCGTTGTTGGGTTGCTGCCCCTGAATTGGTAATTTTAAGGAAATTTTGCAGTTTTTGGTTATTATCTTGAATATTATTATAGATAGAAATAAACTGTAAACAGCAATAATGTTCAGCAAAGTAAGATCTTCAAATAAGTCAAACATGACCAAAATTGTCAATTGTCCCCTTAAGGAGTTATTGCCCTTTATATTCAATTTTTAACAATTTTTCGTAAATTTTTGTAATCAATTTCAAAAATCTTCTCCTCGGAAACTACTGCGACAAATTTTACCAAACTTGGCCATAATCATTATAAGGGTATCTAGTTTTAAAAAATGTGTCCGATGTTTCCGCCTGCCAACCAACATAGCCAACATGGCTGAAAATAGAACATGGGGGTAAAATGTAGTTTTTTATACGACCGCAAAAAAAATAAATTTTGGGGTCGTATATTGGTATGACGTTGGCGTCGTTGTCGTCGTCCGAAGACACATTGGTTTTCGCACTCTAACTTTAGTTTAAGTGAATGGATCTCTATGAAATTTTACCATAAGGTTCAATACCACAAAAGGAAGGTGGGGATTGATTTTGGGGGTAATTGCCTCCAAGTTTTAGGAATTAGGGGCCAAAAAGGGGCAAAAAACAAGCATTTTTCTAGTTTCATGACAATAACTTGTGTGTAAGTATCTGGATCTTTATGAAATTGTACTACAAGGTTCCATATCACAAAGGGAAAGCTGGAGTTGAGTTTGGGGGTAATTGCCCAAAACGTTAAGGAAAAAGGGGCCAAAAATAAGCATTTTTCTAGTTTCCAGACAATAACTTGTGTTCAAGTGTATGGATCTCTCTGAAATTGTACTGCAAGGTACCATACCACAAAGGGAAGGCTGGTATTGATTTTGGGGGTAATTGCCTCAAAATTTTAGGAATTAGGGGCAAAAAAACAAGCATTTTTCTAGTTTCGGGACAATAACTTGTGTGTAAGTGTATGGATCTTTATGAAATTGTACTGCAAGGTTCCATATCACAAAGGGAAAACTGGAGTTGAGTTTGGGGGTAATTGCCCTAAACGTTTAGGAATTTGGGGCCAAAAAACAAGCATTTTTCTAGTTTCCAGACAATAACTTGTGTTCAAGTGTATGGATCTCTCTGAAATTGTACTGCAAGGTACCATACCACAAAGGGAAGGCTGGGATTGAATCATAAGGGGGTTCAAAAAATTTGGGGGGGGGGAGATTTTTTTTCCTTTTTTTTCTTTAAAATTTTCCATTTTAAATTAGTTATTTCTGATTTATATATAAAAGCAAATAATAATGATATGGTTTGAATAGATAAATTAAAAATTTTTAAGTTCTTAGACCACATTCATTCTGTGTCAGAAACCTATGCTGTGTCAAATATTTAATTACAATCCAAATTCAGTGCTGTATCAAGCTTGAATGTTGTGTCCATACTTGCCCCAACTGTTCAGGGTTCGACCTCTGCGGTTGTTACCAACGGAGCATTTTATTGGCTTTTATCTTTGAAACTAAAGCATTTAGAGCAAATCTGACATGGGTAAAAATGTTCATCAGGTATACATATATCTGCCCTGAAATTTTCAGACTATTCAGACAACCTGTTGTTGTGTTGCTGCCCCTGAATTAGTAATTTTAAGGAAATTTTGCAGTTATATGACTGCAAAAAATTTTTGCGGTCATATATTGGTATGACGTTGGCGTTGGCGTCCTCGTCGTCCAAAGACACATTGGTTTTCGCACAATAACTTTAGTTTAAGTGAATGGATCTCTATGAAATTTTACCATAGGTTCAATACCTCAAAAGGAAGATTGGGATTGATTTTGGGGGTTATGGTACCAACAGTTAAGGAATTATGGGCCAAAAATAAGCATTTTTCTAGTTTCCAGTCAATAACTTGTAGAACGGTGTATGGATCTCTCTGAAATTATACCACAAGTTTCCATACCACAAAGGGATGGTTAGGATTTGTTTTGGAGGGTAATGGCTCAGGAATTAGGAATTAGGAGCAAAAAAGGGGGAAAACAAGGGTGTCCTGGTTAATGGACAAATACTTTAATACGCAACAGCATAGTGTATTGCACAAAAGCAAAAAAAAAGGGGGGGGGGGGGGTAAATTTTTTTTTTTTTTTGTGGGGGGAGTGGGGGTCAATTCGCAACAGCAAAGTGTATTGCAAAAAATTGAATATAAATTCAAATCATATAACCAATTCTAAGTTCTTTGACTACAGTTATTCTGTGTCAGAAACCTTTTATGTGTCAAATATTTAATTACAATCCAAATTCAGACCTGTATCAAGCACGAATATTGCGTCCATTTTTGACCCAACTGTTCAGGGTTGGACCTCTGCGGTCGTATCCAGCTGAGCTCGGCGAAGCAATTTATTGGTTATTATCTTGAATATTATTATAGATAGAGATAAACTGTAAACAGCAATAATGTTCAGCAAAGTACTATCTACAAGTAAGTCAATTGACCCCTCAAGGAGTTAATGCCCTTTATGGTCAATTTTTCGTAAATTTTTGTTATCTTTTACAACAAAAATCTTCTCCACTTCATCTACTGTATCCGATGACCCTTTCATCCAACCAACATGGCTGCCATGGTTAAAAATAGAACATAGGGGTTTACTATAGAAGGCTAAGGGAAAATTGTAAAAAAAACAATTTCAAATGGTCACAACTTGAAAACCAATTTAAATAATGATAAGGGGTCTTCAGTAACTATTGTAAGACTAAATTAGGATGACCTGCTTCTAATTTAACTACTGGGCCAAATTTAACCAAACTTGGCCTCAATCATTATTAGGGTATCTAATATTTTTTATTATGATTTTAACCTTATTTTACATGATTTCCAAAAACACAGTAGAAATAGGTGAGAGCCTCTAGTTATAATTCTCTCTTTTTAGTCTTTGTCAACAGCCAAGAAAGCAAGAGATGCTGTTCAGTATTTATATCAATGTTTCCAAGCCAGTCACCCACGTGTTGTGGGTCAAACACCTGCACAGGTAGGTACAAAGGAGTTATTTCTCAGATACCTGCATAGATATGTACACAAATATGTGGAAAAACAAAACATCATAGTTTTGTCCATTGTTATATATAGATTGATTGATTGTTGCTTGATTTATGACTATCGGCAAACATTACATGCATAATTATGAAGAGTTATGTTTAGAAAGAACTTGCAAAACAGATTTTTGTCTGGCCTGCAACGAAAATCGCGTAAAGAGAGACAAAGGGATTGCTTTTCTGGCAACAACGGCTCCGGCGTCAACAATTGTTAAGTTTTCTGCTCAAGTTAGTTTGATAGGAACTACTTGTGATAGATCATTGATATTTACTATGAAGTTGCATTATTATCAGTACATATCAGTTTGATGACTATTTCGAGGCCCTGCCCCGTAAGTCATGGTCCAGTGACTTTAAATTAATAAGCAATTTTCAATGTTAAGTTTTCTGTTTTGAGTTAGTTTGGTAGGATCTACTGGTTATAAATCATTGATATTTTGTATGAAGTCGCATTACTATCAGAACATATCAGTTTGATAAATATTTTGAGGCCGTGGCCCCTAGGACATGCTCCAGTGACTTTGAATTAATTAGCAATTTTAATAAGTTTTCTGCTTAAGTTTGTTTGATATGAACTACTTGCGATAGGTTAATGTCAGTACGTATCAGTTTGACAACTATTTCATGGTCCTGCCCCCTAGGCCTTGGTCCAGTGACTGAATTAATTAGCGATTTTCAATGTTAAGTTTTCTGCTGAAGTTAGATTGAAAGGAACTACTTACAATAGACAACAATATTTTCTATAAAGTTACATTACTGTCTGTACATCTCAGTTTGTCGATCATTTCTAGGCCCTGCCCACAAGATCACGGTCCAGTGACTTTACAATAAGCAATGTTGCTGTCCATCAGATTGTCTTTTTTTAATTTTATGCCGACAGGCGAGACATATCTTTGTGTCAACAGTTTATTAGGTTAAGAGCCCAATTATCAACCCAAGATAAGCTGAGTATTTGCACTAATAGTTTGGTAACTATGTTGATAGAATTTATTTAATTGAACTGAAAATAAGGATACCATAGACTACTTTCAATATAGTGCACGTTCCAATTAATTTCCTATGTCGCATGCTAATGTTATTACGTCACAGTAAGAACCAATTGTTTGATGACATTGTTTATGCCCTTTGACCTTGTTTCAAGCGGTGTAAACCATGAACAAACAACTATATATAAATAGATATAACTAGATGAACTCATATTTTGACTTGAATTTGAAAATTGAAAGTGAGTATCGGTTAAGAACTAAACTTCAGAACAAAGTAGATTGAATTAAAATTTCCCATTGTGAGCTCCCCATTTTATGTTGCAATGGGAAGATGTATGAAATGTTTGCTACTTTTCATTGATTTGAGGGGAACCTGCATCTGGATTATATCTACAAAATGATATGATTTTCTAGGGATTTTTTTTTATATCCATCTTTGCTAGCCAAGGGCTACAATCAGGTCCCCTACTCTTCACCCTTGGCAGATTAAGTCAGAATTTTGAATCAACACGGTAATGATTTCTATTGGTCACAGTGGTAACTGGCTACATCCAATCAAAAATTCCTTTAAGTTGATCACTTGAAAATGTAGAAAATGTAAATAAACAATTACCATGTGCCGATTGTGCTTAGAGTCATTACCCCCAAAACCTAGGACGATTTTAAGTGACACTGCTTACTCTCCTAGGATCACATGACCAGGTGTGGAACAGGAAATTCTTGCTCTCCTAGGATCACATGACCAGGTGTGGAACAGGAACTGCTTACTCTCCTAGGATCACATGACCAGGTATGGAACAGGAACTGCTTACTCTCCTAGGATCACATGACCAGGTGTGGAACAGGAACTGCTTACTCTTCCTAAGAGAACATGACCAGGTGTGGAACAGGAACTGCTTACTCTCCTAGGATCACATGACCAGGTGTGGAACAGGAACTGCTTACTCTCCTAGGATCACAATGACCAGGTGTGTAACAGGAACTGCTTACTCTCCTAGGATCACAATGACCAGGTGTGTAACAGGAACTGCTTACTCTCCTAGGATCACATGACCAGGTGTGGAACAGGAAATTCTTGCTCTCCTAGGATCACATGACCAGGTGTGGAACAGGAACTGCTTACTCTCCTAGGATCACATGACCAGGTATGGAACAGGAACTGCTTACTCTCCTAGGATCACATGACCAGGTGTGGAACAGGAACTGCTTACTCTCCTAAGAGAACATGACCAGGTGTGGAACAGGAACTGCTTACTCTCCTAGGATCACATGACCAGGTTTGGAACAGGAACTGCTTACTCTCCTAGGATCACAATGACCAGGTGTGGAACAGGAACTGCTTACTCTCCTAGGATCACATGACCAGGTGTGGAACAGGAACTGCTTACTCTCCTAAGAGAGCATGACCAGGTGTGGAACAGGAAATTACTATTCTAGGATCACATGCCCAGGTGGTTTGTAACAGGAACTGCTTACTCTCCTAAGAGAACATGACCAGGTGTGGAACAGGAAATTACTATCCTAGGATCACATGACCAGGTGTGGAACATGAACTGCTTACTCTCCTAAGAGAACCTGACCAGGTGTGGAACAGGAACTGCTTACTCTCATAGGATCACATGACCAGGTGTGAAACAGGAACTGCTTACTCTCCTAAGAGAACATGACCAGATTTTCTTACACAACAAACTTTAACAGATTGTTTGAGTTGGAGGTATTAATAAATCATTTGAAAAATGTTGAATGATACAAATTAATTAACAATAAGCATGTGATTTCAGTTGAAAAACTTTAATGTCCTGTGAGTATGGAGTTGCTATATAGTGGTGATATTGCTTTTAAATACCTATACTAAACAATGGTTTATTTACAGGCAAACATGACTTGTGATGTTATTAAACCAGAATGTAATGACGACCGCATCATAAAATGCTGTGTTCAATTTCAAAATGACCGTAAGTATTATCTGTAAAAAATGACTGAATGATAGGATGGAGTAATTGCTTGATATGCATGACATAAGTATGTCAATTTTGTACATTCTTTTTTGATTTTGCCATGAAATTGTACCACTATATTGCAAGTAATATTGAATTACAACTTTAAGCACTTTTCATCTGCCTTTTTGAAAAGACAGAGATAGTATAAATCTGTTTTGTGTTTATGTATTCTGGTAAAGAATAAAAAAAAACAATGCTTTGCTTTGAAATTTGTATGATTTAAATAATTGTTTAATGAACAAATCGACCTTACAGTAATTTGTATTGAAAAGATATTTAAAAAGCTTTAAGATCTTTGACAGCAGACTATATTTATAGAATAATGTTGTTTTTAGCATTCATTATGCAAAAAAAGGTAGCCCTGGTTGAAGAGATAGTGTATGACCCATAGCAGTGTGTACTATGTCTCAATAGACTGAGAGGCTACTATTTCACACAGTCAATGCTCAACACTGACTGTTAGCTCTTAACCAAACCAGTACAAAATAACCTCAAAATATCATTGATTTTGACTATTGCATGACACCCAAGAAAACTCTAAACTGATTATCAATGGGATACTTTTCCTGAATAATGAATTTTAGCTGTATGCCAAAACAAAGAATTTTAATTATCAAAGAACAATTTTTCCTTAAGTATAATATTTTATGATAGATTGCCTCTCAGTTTTTAAGTTTTATATTATTTGACTGAGTTTTATATATTTATAACAGATCCAGATTGTATGGTCATACTACTTACAAATGATAGGAACTTGTGCAATAAATCTGTAATAACGGGCATTAAAGCATTTCCTCAACAGGTAAGTTCATCACATTTTTTCCTTACCTGTATGACTGTATGTAACAATTTACTGAATGAAGCTAGTAATTAGAGTTAAAAAATTGTTGTATGAGTAAAAGTTCTAGACCAAACTTAGTTTATAATCTCAATGATTGAGTAAATATAGATGGTCTAAGATAAATGTACATTAACTATCCCATGAAATATTATGCAATAAAATTAAAAAGAAATAAAAGTACATGGACTATGCTGTATGAGGATAAAGTACAACTCCGCAGAAAAAACTCATCAGGATTAATTGTTATACTCAGAAGTAGAAACAAACAAATTACTCAACTCAGATGAAGATTTTATTGTTTTGGAGTAAAAAATGTCACATAAATGTTTTAACCATAGAATCATTTCTAATTTTAGTTTTAATATTATCAATTGTAGACACTTTTATCAGTATTGCCAACATTAGAAGTAGTTGTGAACCCTCAGAGACCAACAGAAGGTAAATTTCATGTTACTGTGGCATATTGTTATTCATTTTATGGTTGTGTACCGGTACATACTTCTTACTCAAGACTGAGTTCTTGCATATTGGTCAAATGATAACATAGAAAAACATTTCTTTTTTTTTAATAATGTGTCTGTGTAGGTGCAGACCTGCCAACTATCCCGATTTTGGCGGTATCATCCCGATTTTCATGCCTCAACCCGAATCCCGATATTGGCTAATCAACAGTCACAACAGGTGTCATAACTTGTTGTTACAGGTAATCTGCTTATCTGATGGGTCATAACGATCCTCAAAATTAATTAATTTGTAAATAGAATTGGTTGGTCAGCATTTCAATTTTAATCAATTTATCATACGATCCCAATTTGCAACGTTTACCGTAGTTTCATGACAGAATTGTAATTAACTGAAAGACGAAAACTGGAATGAACTCATTAGAAAACATGGGTTATCTTGAAATCCGTTAAAATTTTTGAAATCAGACGTATTTCTGTCCACTTCTGATTTAAAATCGACACTTCTGCTGTGTATAAGCCTCTGTCGGTAGGAGTGCCTCTGAACACAAATAAAAGATAACAAAAATTTTATCCATTTTCTCATTAATACTGATAGACTAACGCAAGATCTGTCTTCATTCTTCTAACTTTAGGACATTTAGGTTTAGGTCTTTTCAGTCGTGGTGCAAAGATAAGGTCTTTGGAGGGGGAAAAGGGGAGTCTTCACTTTGTATCCTTTATTTTTGGGACCATTTTTCTCTATTCTTAAGTTATTTGGCCAATTAATAAGTACAAATCATGCAAATAAAAAAAATCAAGGCTTATTAGCTCATCATCAGTTTACCATAAGAAAAAAGATGAGATATGAGACTATTTCAAGAGTAAAAAAACAGTGCTCACAGAAACACCGCAAAAATTGTAACCCTTAAAAATCCCCCATGGGGATTTTCAAAAGTTGGCAGGTCTGTAGGTGATGTATCTTCCTGTTACATCTTTAAAACTTGATCGACCTTGTCGTTGAGTGGTCTTAGTAGTTATCTACACTGATAGCCTGTTAACACTGAGGGTGTGAGTTATTGAGTGGTCTTAGTAGTTATCTACAGTGATAGCCTGTTAACACTGAGGGTGTGAGTTGTTGAGTGGTCTTAGTAGTTATCTACACTGATAGCCTGTTAACACTGAGGGTGTGAGTTATTGAGTGGTCTTAGTAGTTATCTACACTGATAGCCTGTTAACACTGAGGGTGTGAGTTGTTGAGTGGTCTTAGTAGTTATCTACACTGATAGCCTGTTAACACTGAGGGTGTGAGTTGTTGAGTGGTCTGAGTAATTATCTACAGTGATAGCCTGTTAACACTGAGGGTGTGAGTTGTTGAGTGGTCTTAGTAGTTATCTACAGTGATAGCCTGTTAACACTGAGGGTGTGAGTTGTTGAGTGGTCTGAGTATTCTGGGTCCAATTTTAGTATTGAGAGGTTTTTTGTATATACTATAACATGTACATGTACCACTGAGTTTCCTAAAAATATTCACTTTTGTATTTGTTAAGTATATAAATATTCATCATTTATTAAATATCTTTCTTAAGCAATGCCCTTTTATTGTTTTATTCACTCTTTGGAGACAGAGCTGTGACTCTCTGTTTGCCATCTGCCGCATCCATATTTACTGCTGAAGCAAAGGCAATAATTTTGGCTTTGAAATTTATTGCTTCTTCAGACAAATCAAAATTTATTATATGTTCTGATTCACTTTCATGCTTACAAGCTATACAACATACTAAAATTAAAAACCTGATAATTCTCAAGATTTTATATGTAATGAGGAATTTAAAAATTCTTTATAAAGAAATAATTAAATAACTTTTCTATGGGTGTCAAGTCATGTTGTAATCCATGGAAACACTGTTGTAGACCAGGAAGCAAAAAATGCCCTGGATGACCCTTTATCTAACTGTGATATACCATATACCGATTTTAGATCTAATATTAGAGAATATGTTTTTAATATATTGAAAAATGAATGAAGTAAAAAAGATGATAGAAAATTACATGAAATTAAACCTATATGTAAATTAGGTAAACCTTTTAATAGTTTTATGTGCAGAAAAGATCAGTGTGTTATTTCTAGATGCCGTATTGGTCATACTAGAATAACACACGAGTATCTTCTAAAAAATGAAGATGAACCACAATGTATACCTTGCAACAGCAAGTATACTATTAAACATGTTTTAATTGGTTGTATTGACTTTGCCGATATTCGTAGGAAGCATTTCAATGTCAATAATATGTATGATTTATTTGATAGTGTTCCAATCACAAATATTGTTTCATTCTTAAAAGAAGTTGGAATATGTTATAAAATATAAACATGTTGTATAAATTTAAAATGATTTTAATTTTTTGGCACAGTAAATTAGAAAATTCTAATTTCAATTGTTTACCTTTTCAAAGGAAAAACGCAGAGAAAACCGAAAGTATATTTGACTTCTAAATACCTGAAACAATACCTTTCAGAAATACAGGTGAAAACCAGGGCTTCCAAAACGGTCATATATTCCGGACTTGACCGAAACTTTCATAAAAAGACCGGTTGCTCTCAGCCTCAAACGGTCAAATAGAATTGGTGTGCCACATTTTGTTATTCAAGGCATTTTCATGAAACGGTCATTTCAATTTTTACCAACTATCGATCGATAAAAATGTCCGTTTGGGGCTTTGGGCATGTCCGTTTGGGCATTTTAGTTTATAATTGTGGCAATCTATTTCACAAAGATATTTCGGTCATAATTGGGTTTGATAAAACAGAAGCAGCATATTTCAGATACTTTGAAGTGTCTCAGTTAGTCTAATCCTCTGGGTACATAAATGTACGGCTTGGTCTTTAGCTTGTGTACATCAATAAAAAGTAGAAAAAACACGTTTTCTTTTATTTAAATAACAACAAGCTGTCAAACAATTATCCCTTCAATAAGTTATATTGAAGCCATAAATCATTCACTGATTAAAGGTTTGTTACCTTTGATGAGGTGTCCTTAGCTTGTCTTTATCAATAGAATTAATGATGCATAACAATGTACATAAAGGTAATCAGGTAAACGAGGTCAAACATGTAAGCGTGTATGGAACAACATCCTATTTAATTACGCTTTATAGATATTATTTTAAATGAGCATTCAGTTTAAAAAAGTATCCTGATATTTAAAAGTTATTCTTCAAATAAGGATATTTATAAATGAATAAGTATGATATATATTATTTTATTTAACACTGTACATCGTGTTAAATACTTCAAAAACGTGACTTGTCTTATGCCACCGTGAAACAATTAGTTGACTCTTTTCTTATGGCAATAGAGGCCGAGTACTTAACCGAGATTCCTTCATTTGGACCATTATGTGCCGAATTTCTAAAATCAACAGACCAATCTGACAGCTTCAACACTATCACCTTTAAACGTAACAACCGTGACATTCATCTAAAGACAAGAGCCGTGCAATGTGCCCAATTGATACATGATAACATTCGTGACTGATTTCCAGACAACAAAATTTTCGAAGCATTCTCTGTATTTGAACCGTCGAACTTTCCTTGTAGTGTTGACGACCTTCCTCGCTACGGTGAACAACAGTTAGAGTGTCTCGGAGACCATTATAGTATAGTCAACCAAGAAGAACTACAAATAGAATGGGGCATACTTAAGTATTTGATCTTCAACAACTACAAGGGACTTTCGTTTGCCGATCTGTTGACTGCAATTATTTCAAGAAAAGACCAGTTCCCAAATACAATTTCGCTAATGGAAATTTCACGTGTTTTGCCGGTTTCTAGTGTTAAATGTGAAAGGGGTTTTTCAAGGCAGAACATTATCAAGACAAAACTAAGGTGTAGTCTAGGTATTGACGCTTTAGATCAACTTATGAGGATAAGCTTAGTAGGTGTAGATGTTAAAGACTTTGACCCTGTTCCTGCTATCCGCAAATGGCAATCCGTTCGTAACCGCTGTGTTTATCAGAACAATGCATTTAGCAAGCTCATGAATGTAAAATCTTAAATTAGACTAAATGAACTCTAATCTTGTGCTGTGATCTGTGCTTCTTTTCAATGTGCTCATTGTAATATTTATTGCTTGTGTTTGTCAACATTGTGCTCTTCTGATATTTTATTGTTGTTATATGCTTACATAAAATATGTTGTTATTCATTAAATTATTTATCAACTGAGTATGTTTTTATTTATTCCTTATTTTCTAAATCTGGTTGGGAAATTGTACAAAGAAAAATGTTATCACTGTTCAGTAGATTTTACACGGTTTAAAACAATATCCTTCATTGGGCCTCCTCAATGTTATCTATAAATACCGCATCAGTTGTAAAAGTCACGTGGTCAGGTAATCAATACACAAAAATAAAAGTATCACGTGTATTGATGATCAAGTTGTACTGCAATTAAAGCCAACATCAACAGTTTCAAATAAGATGGCCTTAATTTACAAAGTGTTAAGTACTCACAGAGAGAAGATAGATTATATAAACAGAAACAAAAACATGAGAACAGTCAGGTACTGAAGCTGATTGATGCAATGATGGTTACTGTATAACGATACACAGAAAAATGACACAATACCGAGGATAATATTTTATTTATTTTTAGAATGAAGAAAACAAAACAGTTATAAATAATTTTATTACATATAACACTACTAATTATTTAGACACATATATCAATTTATGCATCCTCTCAGTTACATTTAAGTATCCAGCTGATCATTGACCGTCAAAAATATTTCTTTGAAAAATGTCCGGCTGTCTTCAGGAAATTTTGGAAGCCCTGGTGAAAACATGTCATCTTCTGAAATCCCGTGTGAAGGGGGAAATTCTCGCAGAATACGAGTCAATTGACAGCTATGAGTTGCATACAAATTCATCTGCAATACTTAATTCATGAAAAAAATGACAAATTCATGTTTCATTTTGATTAGACATACAGAAAAGTAAACCTGACAGCAATGTACAGCAAAAAGAAACACAGATTGTGATGCAGACTAGTAGTAATGTAGAAAGTGAGGCACAATATGTAAGTCAGTCTTCTGTGTGTAATCATATCATCATAAAAAATGTGGAAAATTTTAAGATTGAATTTTCCTTTTGTTTGCTGATTGAATGAATTGAAATTTAAACCTCACTTTGGAGATAAATACATATCTATAGGATTATTATCCTAATGAAAGGGCAAACTTTTCCAGCTCAGGATTTAAATAGATAGCCTTTCAAGATGGTCTCCAAATGTAATTTACATGATATTTGCAAAATTTTAAAGGTGTTCTGCTGGCAGCTTTTTCAAGACTAGCAATTTTTATGTCAGCATTTACAAGATATTTGCTGACACAAACGTGAATGCTATGACAGAAAGTCAACAATTATGGTATTTTGTAGGTAATAATTACTGAAATAGGATCTTTAAAGCAGAAATTTTTTCTCAAACTGCATCAGAATCATGTTATAGTCAGGTTTGTGAAAAATTTGTTTGTCAGAAATGTGATGTGGGATTGTGTTCAGATACAATATAAAGTGTTTGAATGACTCACTACTTTCATAATAATTTATCTCTTTGATGACAGAATTATTTCCGCAAATATGAAAAAACAAATACAATTTTCTTGTTTGGTAATTTATTCTTTTACTTTATATGTTTTTAATTATTTTTGGGACTGTTTGCAAAATATTAGGCCACTGGGTGACCTTTAATGATATTATAGAATAATTTCTGAATTTATTTGTTTACTCTAAATATTTATTAGAATGATATTTCCTTGACAGTTGGATGATGTATATTGTAAAGTGAAGTCCTTGATACAAGAAGCTTTATCTATAATCCTAGAAAGAGAAATGAAGAAACTGTTTGATGACATCTGGTAAATATTAATCCTAACCAAAGTACAGACCCATGTTGTTAATGATTAATGTTTACAGACCCATGTTGTGAATGATTAATGTTTACAGACCCATGTTGTTAATGATTAATGTTTACAGACCCATGTTGTGAATGATTAAATGATTAATGTTTACAGACCCATGTTGTGAATGATTAATGTTTACAGACCCATGTTGTGAATGATTAATGTTTACAGACCCATGTTGTGAATTATTAATGTTTACAGACCCATGATGTGAATGATTAATGTTTACAGACCCATGTTGTTAATGATTAATGTTTACAGACCCATGTTGTTAATGATTAATGTTTACAGACCCATGTTGTTAATGATTAATGTTTACAGACCCATGTTGTGAATGATTAATGTTTACAGACACATGTTGTTAATGATTAATGTTTACAGACCCTTACAGACCCATGTTGTTAATGATTAATGTTTACAGACACATGTTGTTAATGATTAATGTTTACAGACCCTTACAGACACATGTTGTTAATGATTAATGTTTACAGACCCTTACAGACACATGTTGTTAATGATTAATGTTTACAGACCCATGTTGTGAATGATTAAATGATTAATGTTTACAGACACATGTTGTTAATGATTAATGTTTACAGACACATGTTGTTAATGATTAATGTTTACAGACCCATGTTGTGAATGATTAAATGATTAATGTTTACAGACCCATGTTGTGAATGATTAAATGATTAATGTTTACAGACCCATGTTGTGAATGATTAAATGATTAATGTTTACAGACCCATGTTGTGAATGATTAATGTTTACAGACCCATGTTGTGAATTATTAATGTTTACAGACCCATGTTGTGAATGATTAATGTTTACAGACCCATGTTGTGAATGATTAATGTTTACAGACCCATGTTGTGAAAGATAAATGTTTACAAACCCATGTTGTGAAAAGTAAAATCACAAAAATACTGAGCTCCGAGGAAAATTCAAAAAGGAAAGTCCCTAATCAAATGGCAAAATCAAAAAAACAAACACATCAAACGAATGGATAATAACTGTCATATTCCTGACTTGGTACAGGCATTTTCTTATGTAGAAAATGGTGGATTGAACCTGGTTTTATAGCTAGCTAAACCTCTCACTTGTATGACAGTTGCATCAAATTCCATTATATTGACAACGATACATGAACAAAACAAACAGACACAATAGGTAAAAATGTCAAAAATAGGGGTACAGCAGTCAACATTGTGTTATCTTAATCACTATAAAAACAAACAAATGTAACGAAGAAGCACAAAAAGGAATGATTAATGTTTACAGACCCATGTTGTGAATGATTAATGTTTACAGACCCATGTTGTGAATGATTAATGTTTACAGACCCATGTTGTGAATGATTAATGTTTACAGACACATGTTGTGAATGATTAATGTTAAGAAAACAACACTGAGATAAAAATTTTTGTCTAGCTGTATAAAAGAAATACTTGTAGTGAGGACTACATTTAAAAACAATTAAAGAGTTTTGTGTGTTTAGTGTGATGGTCATACTAAAGTTTGATGGTCGGGACAGCATTGTTGTGTTGTAGTACAGTAGTCTGGATGTAATGCTGACTTGTCATGATAAACTGGTGCTGGTGTGCTTACTTTGATTGGTACAGTTATGATTTATCAACAGGATTCAAAAGGTGTCACACAACAGGTATCAGGAACAATTGAATCTTCTGTAATACCCTAGCTAATCTTTGTTTATAGTGGATTGTCTATTGTTCAATCGTTATTTTTTTTGTGTAGTGTTTTCTTTTAGCCATGGTGTTGTCTTTCTTCAAATTGCTGTTTATGATTGCCTTCATTTTACTTGTGTTGCGGAAGGTGAAAGCAGGTCTATTAACCACTTGACTCCATCAGTCTGTCTGTTCATCCGACTGAAAGACCTTTTGTAGAAAACATTATTCAAAGTTTTCTTGGCTTCTTAGAAGGAAATGATTTGATATTTGGTCTGCAGCTTAATAACGATGAGTTGTAGTGTGAAAGTAAATTTTATATCTGACATGCAGCCACTTCCTATTTGCCAATAGTTTTTACAACACTCATTGTACAAGGAACATTTTAATCAAAGTTTTCTTGGCTTGGCTTGTATGAAAGGGAATGATTTTATATTTGGTCTGCAGCTTGATAATGATGATTTGTATTATGTCAGCAATTTTTATATCTACCATGCAGCCTCTTCCTGTTTGCTGATAATTTGAAATTTTATTACAACTTTCATTGTACAAGAAATATTTTCATCAAAGTTTTCTTGACTTGTATGGTAGAGAATGATTTAATATTTGGTCTGCAGCTTGATAATGATAAATTGTAGCATGTAAGCAATTTTTACATCTGCCATGCAGCCACTTCCTGTTAGTTGATTAGTTTGAAATTTTACAACACTTATTGTACAAGGTAAATTTTCATCAAAGTTCTCTTGCCTTCAGTGAAAGGGAATGATCAGTCATGCTTCAGTATACATGCAACCTCAATCAGTTACATGCAGCAATGAAGGTCCAGACCCGGTTTTGGTCTATTTACAATTAGAAACTGAAAAAGGTATTAGCTGCTTTTTAAGGATATGTAGGTCATGTTCAAAATCCAGTACCTTTTGTACTGTAAGGGTATGAGTTGATATGAAACTGTTATCAGATATAGTCTGTTTATCAATGCGTCTGAAAAACTCAAAATATGAGTCAATTACAATTTGTTCCTATGCTGGACATTTAAAGATATTTCCAGTATATATGGAGATGAATTATTTTTTAAATATATTTTTCATAACTTGAAGAGAAGTACATTTGTTGCTTCTTATTATTCCTGCTATTTTCAACCTGAATCCTTTTACATTTACAGAATGCTTGTATACACATCAAACATTATCTAAGTGGCCAACAAACTCTTACCTATTCCTTCATTTTGGAAACATTTCATAAAAATTAGGGTATTTAGTTTGGAAGATTAAATTCTACTACAATATTGAACAAAATGTTAAGAATTTGTTTTTTTTCCTCTAAAGTTATTTATAATAAACCTTGTGAGTAAAGGTCACTTGACTATAATTTTTTTTCACCATTACAGGTTAAATATTGTTTACAGAAAACCACCTTGGTCATATAGAGACGTATTAGAATGTTTCAAAAAGTAAGTATACATATTACTTCTTAATGATGATTCTGTACTTCCATAATTTCCTAATGTAGGTATCTACAATACCATATATAATAAAGGGAAGGGGCATTAAGTTTTTTTTAGAGCTGTTTGAAATTTGCACATAAATATGGAAATGCATAAGATCAGAAAATATAACAGAAAGGCACTAAGATTTTTGATTCAATGAAATCAAAATTGAGTTGTAATATGTGCCTTTTCGTAAAAATGAAGAAAAAAGCTGAATTTTTGCATTTCCTTCGAGGAAACATCTTGCACAGCCAAGAAACAACAAAATGATTTAAGAGAAGCTTTAAGATAGCTATTACATATTCTCACCAAATATTTTAAAAGTTGTTTCTTGGGTGCACTCATTATTTTCCAATCCAAAATATACACCTATGATTATTTTAAATTGCAAAATTAACTATTTGTATTAAAGAATTTAAAAGCACTCCTCCATATCTATAAAAGGATATATTTATTTATTTCTCTGAGAACTAACATTTCATTTTTCTTCAGATTAAAAAAGTTATTGGAATTATCTATGTTACTTCTAATTGCAGACATTGGATAGCTGTATTTGGACAGATTTACAACAGAACATTAATCAGATGTGTGGAAAACCTTCTAGGTCTGATTGTCAAAGGTTATTACAAGTTTAGTAATTTGTGAATTTCAATTTCTTGGTTTTTATGATATCATTTGATTGTTTCCTGTATTATAAATCAATGTTAGTATTTTACAGATCCTGTGTAAGTTAAATTGATGACGACATACTTAATTCTTAAATGTGACCCATTGCCTTAAAAAATAAAGACTTGTAGGTGACAATAACAAAGCTGAAGTCTAAAAAGCACAGACAATACCAATATCAAAAGAAAATAAATAAAAAGACAAACAATAGCTGGAATAAAATTGCAAACAAAAAATCTTATGTTTTCCAGACCTACACAAAGATCTGCTTGAAATTGACCTTAATTACAAGATTTGTAATTTGATATTTTGATTTGATTATTAGGTCAGCTTCTTGAGGTGAATATAATTTATGCAGGTCAGTAATGTTTAAATTGTTCTTTTTACTTGGTCTCAAACTTGAAACAAATTACTATATGATCATAACCACTATAAGGGAAAACATATGTGTTGTTCATATTTATCATACTTTATACATATGTGTATATTTGATATAGGTGCTACGATAAAATGGTCAATAGTTGAAGAGATGATTGGTGACGCCATTCAATTGTTAGACCAAGATCTGAAACATGTGAGGTAGGTCAAATATTTTATAGATGAAAATAAGAAAGATATCATTGACAGCTAATGGAGAGAAAAAGATATTTAAGGATCAATTACAGTGACAATAGATTTTATTTGACATTTGTATTTTTTTTTAAATTTGCATGAATTAAAGTGGTATAAAAATAAGGAGCTGTGGTATGATTGCCAATGAGACAACTATCTGCCAGAAACCAAATGACATGGATGTAATTAACTATAGGTCACTGTACAGCCTTCAACAATGAGTAAAACCCATTATATTAAGCATAAAAAGCCCTGGCATTTCAAACAACCAACGACAAAATGATAAATGAAAAATATGACAGAACTCAAACAAAGAAAATCACTGAATTACAGGCTCCTGCCTTTGGACAGGCACATACAGAATGGCTATGCAAACATGTTTCTGAGTGCTCAACCCTTCCCTAACCTGACAGGGTGATGTAGCACCAAAACATAGGAACAAACTGTAAAAACTCATCGAAGCACAAAAGTACTGATCTAAGAATACTCACAGTTTTTTGTTTTCTTTTTTGGAAATTTTATCATGATGATCTAACTGTATCTTATGATGATTATTCTAAAATACATTATATTTTCAAAAATATTTCAAGATTGTAATGAAAAATTATCATGTGAAAGTTGGGGTTATACATACATAAATGTAGATGTTTTTATTTGTTAGTTGCAACAGCAGTATTTCCAAGATAAAGTCAGATTTACTAGATCTAAAAAGTTGTTGTCATGGACCAAAGAAAACCAATATTAATCAGGTAAACATGTAATATTTTTTTACAATGATTTTTAGCTCATCTAATTTATTTCCATCTCTCATGAAGTTGATGTTGTTTGTTAAAACTTTCGTTTTTTTTTAAATCAAAGAGCCAGTTTAAATCAAAGTTTTTTCATCATTTGTTTTGATGGCTTGTAACTGCATCTGATGTTTATGCAGACAAACCTTAATGTCTGCTCTAACATAAAGTATAACAAAAGAGTATTGATCTTTCCTTTAGCAATTACAGACTTTATTTGGAATGATGGGTTACTTGTTCCTTGGATGAGATCCAGTGGCAACTATTTCACACATATTCAGGACAACATATTTGCATATTAAGGCAAGAGTATTCCAACCTCTCAAGATGGTGATTAATGTTAGAAAGGATAATAATTAATTGAATTATGTTTCATAAAAAATTGTTTTAAAAAACAACATTTAATAATTGCTTGCTTAATTAATAATTAAACTTGATTTTGCAAGCATGGTTGAAATATTGTATCCTTTCAAATTCACCAAATATGATATCGAAGGTGACTGCCCCATTTAATCTGACACAGACCTCGGAAAAGTGCAGTTCAAAAATCTTTCTTGAAACTACTGGTCTGATTATATTGCATTAACTCTGTCTATCTGTTCGTCCAACAAATATTTCTGCAGCACTTTTCTTAGGTTCTACAAAACAGAATATTTAGTCAGCAGCTTGAAAGTGATGATTTTTAATGTGTGAGCACATTTAAGATCTGTTGGATAGTTACTTCTTGTTTGCTTATACTTAAAATTTCATATATTGTCATCAGCTTGCCAATAATGAGTTGTAATGTGTGTGCACATTTTGGTTCTGTATGAAGCCTTCTTCCTGTTGTCTGATACATTAAATTACAAGGGGGTATGCTTAGCACAACAACAACAACATGTGCAGTCTTGTTGATACATGTAGTGGAAAATATTTTGACCTTTAACTAAGTGATACTGAAAATATCTTTTTGGCAAAGATAGAGTATCTGCATTGGTGAAAAAACTTTTCATGTCTATGTGAATATGAATATTGATATTTTAGAATTGTCAGCAAGTAGAAAGGCATAAGAAATCTACCTCACCATTCAAACCTCTAAATCAGCAAACATCAAAGAAGAGACAAGCTATTCAATCATCACAGGCTAATGACAGAAATAAACAATCACACAGTGGTCAAGCAAGTCAACTATCTCAGTCTAGTCAAGGAAGTAAACAAGCACATAGTGGTCAAGGAAATAAACAATCAAACAGTGGTCATGGAAATAAAGAATCACACAGTGGTCAAGGAAATAAACAGCGGAAGAGGAGGAAATCAGGAAACACAAAATCCCCAACACAACAGCATCCATTTTCTAAATCAGAAATTAAACTTCAACAGATCTGGCATACCATACATAAAACTTGGTATGTGGTTTTCAGAAATGCTTTGATAGTCTATGCGAGAAAATATTTAGCAAAGCTTGATTCTGTTAGCAGTAAAATCATATTTAAAAAAAAATTGAAAAGTATATTATATGTTAGAGCTTTCCTTGTAAAATGTTCTGACAAGGAATATTTCTTACTTGTTTTATTGAAAGCTAGTATTAGACAAGCAAAGCTAAATTTTGCTAAGATGTCCCCAACTTTCATCAAAATTAAATGAGACTAAAAGCAATTTTTTTTTAGCAATTTCCAATGACAAACAGTAGTTTAAAATATTATTGATAGATGATTTAGTGGTAATTATAGGTTTAATATCGAGTCAGAATTGGATATTGCTTAATATCAACTCGAGTTATTTAATTTCAATATAAGCGAGACTTTGGCGAGTTTATTATTACTATTTCAATTAAATAACAAGAGTTGATATCAAGCGATCTCCAATTCTCATGAGTTGTTAAACCTATTTCTCTTGTGGTCAACACTATCATTATGTTAAATTAAAAATTCCATGAATCATTGATCTAGTCTTTTGCACATACCAGTGTGACGTCATATGTCCTGTTTAGGCGACAGAATTAAACCTCAGGCATTATAAAACATTTAGTACGCTTCAGACTGTAATAAAATTTCACATAAAGAAAATTTTCAGGTGAAAAGTGTGAGTGTTTTGTATATTATTGAAGAAATCACATGTGTCTGTTGCCATGAACGAAATGTACATTGTCTTAACCTTTGAAAGTTATCAATGACCTAACGAATAGCCAAAGGAAATGTCGTAATATCGTCTCATAATGCTGTATGGCCAATCAAATTCACACAGTTTTCATATTTCTTTTTATTATGCCCCTGCCATAGCGGAGGGGGCATTAAGTTTTACCCTTGTCCATACGTCCAAAAATTGGTTTCCGTTCTCTAACTTTAGTTTGCCTCAACTAAATATTATGAAACTTATACACAATGCTTATTACCACACAACACAGATCAAGTTTGAATTTGGGTGGCGTCACTTTTACCTTTCAAGAGTTATGCCCCTTTACAAATGGAAAAATTGCTGAATTTTTCGTTTCCGTTCTCTAACTAAAGTTTGCTTCAACCAAATGTTATGAATCTTATACACAATGCTTATTACCACAAAACACAGATCAAGATTGAATTTTGGTGGCGTCACTTTAACCGTGTCTCTTTATAATGTTATATGCAAGTGGGGGCATCATCTGTGTCCCATGGACACATTCCCCATTTATTTAAACTCCGTGCAGTTTGATACAAGAAATTTCTCTTCATGAAAAACAGCCCACCCCTGTAAGAGAAATATAGATTCCACCACCGCAACAAGTGTGTTACTATATTTCTCCACTCGAGACAGTTAAATTTTAATATTTAAAGTGCGAGGCTTGCCGAGCTTTTAAATAATTAAAATTTTACTGTTGAGAGTAATAGTGGTGGAATCTGTTTCTCTAATGATTATTATCCTTCCATTTCAAAGATTTACAGAAAGTTGTGTTCTTTATATGTGACGTCATCAGGCATGGTCGCCTTTTTTCATGACGTCACAATAGGAAATTCAGAAGAAACCAAGAAAATTTGACGTCATAATCAAATTTCAACCAATCATTTGACGAGAACAGATATTTCACTAGTGAGGGGAACAATTTTTTCACAATCACAAAGTCCTGTATATTGATAACTTTCTTTTCAACATAGATGTGTTGGTAATTTACTACCATGATTATTATTTGATGAATTTTATATTTAATTTATTATAAAGTAACGAGTTGAAAGAGATAGCAGTTAGTACTGATAGTCCACAGAGACGTGTGTATGATATGTGTGACAAACTTGTTCCAGCTGTTAAAGACTTAGAGTATTATTATAGCAAGTAAGTCTCAGTCTAGAGTACTTATACGGCACATAAGTCTCAGTCTGTTCAATATCAATCCACTGTCATGTGATAGTCATTCACCAATGAAAATGCCAATGGATTATTCCGGATACTCAAGTTCCTCCATCAATACTGTTTAAATTATACTAATGTATGGAAGGTGTCCTTAACCTTGATCAAGCTGAGACAAACAAAACTATTAAGTTAGTATTGCAGAAAGTTAATGTTGTTAATTTGCAAAAAAAGATCAGGAACTACTTGATGAATAAAATGAGATATAAGGTATTTCTAAATAAGAGCAACCTAACATAAAAAATAAAAAGATATCTTGTAAAGTTTAGTTTGTTTTATTTTTTCAATATCTACAGTAGGATAACCTTTGCATGACATTTTACAGCTGAATATGTTTTAAGTTGCATGATAAGATAACGAAAGATACCAAAGGGACAATTAAACTCAAAAGTCGAAAACAAACTGACAAACCATGGCAAAAAAAAGAAAAAGAGGAAAAGACAAACAACAGTATACAAAACACAACATAGAAAATTAAAGACTGAGCAACATGAACCTCACCAAAAACCAGGGGTGATCTCAGGTGCTCCTGATCCTAATTTACAATAATAAAGACAAATATTCAGCTTTAATGAAAGATAAAAATGATAACAGAACTACCAAAAATGTTGGGCAGTACAACAGACCACACCAGACAAACAATTCATCGTCTCCTTATTTTGCCTAAAAATATGACAAACAAAAACCTGAACACTTAATATTTAATAGGCCTTTTAGGGGAAATAGAAGTTAAAAAAAAAAAATGAACATATAAAAAAAAAAAACACAAAACAAACTGAATTTTAACACTTTAAAAAAGAAATTGAACATAAATTTATAAAACTTTCCCTTTTTTTTACAGAGCTCTAATGATTCCTCCAGGAGACATTCGTTCACACATTGAAAATATCATAGAACTATGTGATCACTTGAACAGTTTTCATGACAGTATTGAAATAGAGGTTTGTTATTTGTGAATGAAACACGATAATGATAAGTGAATGTAACTGTAATCAATGAAAAAAGAACAAAAATGGATTGAAGGTTTTAATTTTCTTTTTAAATAAAAAAATATTTGCAGTAGGTTGGTTACCCTGTTTATTACATTTCAAGATCTAATTGATATATATGACATGAAAATTTTAATTAAGGTAGGCATAATTTTTTATAATCTGACAATGTTTGGGAATAGAAATTTCCTTAAAAATTTGTTTCAAATAAAGGAAAACTGTGGAATTTATTTCCACATGGAGAACTTGCCTCACTTAAATTCCTAGAACAATTCCAGTTTCTACAAATTGCCAATATGTTGAGAAATCGGTATGTATTGAAATGCTTAATCTTAACTTTGCTTTAGTCAAATTATTAACTATGTACAAATTTAAGTTATTAGGAAATGAAAACAGCATTTTGATGTAAATTAATGATTAGTTGATGTTTTTTTAGGACACAGAAGGACCTATTGAAACATTTGACCTACTTGATCTTTTTGCTGCAGACGACAAAAGGTATATATCCTTCGTGTTCATTTGATACATAACAATGAAAGGGTCTGAAATCAGTTACATACATGACAGGGCTTTACAAATTTTAATGTCACACATTTTGACTTCCTGATATTATTAAGAAAAGCATGACTTAATCATTTGAATTTATTACAAAATGGCATGGGCAATACTTTATGGGTTTGAATTAGAAATAAGATGTTGTATGCTTGCCAATGAGACAGCTATCCACCAAAGTAAGTGGGTGTTAACAACTATATGTCATTGTATGACCTTCAGCCAATGAAAAAAAACCCATGACTTATAGTAAGCTTTGAAAGGCATCGTTTAAATTCATTTTGGCAGACCCTACATGGATGTAAGGGATATTTATACAGTAACAACATAGTAATTAAAGTTAACCTTGACCAAATATGACGTGTATTGTCATCACTTTGCATATATCTTCCTAATAGAACTTCTCCTTCAAAACCACAATGTGCATTTACATATCACTACAGGGAGATAACTGTAAAAAATCAGCTGAACGTTTTAATCACATTCTATTGTTATGGAAATATTAAGCTTCTCAGTGATCAAAATTAGTGTTTTTCAAACTGCTTTATATCCAATGAAATTTTTCCGATAAAGTGTGTGGTTCAAGTTTTTTGAAATTTTCATATTTTGTCCAAGGGTCAAAGTAAATATTTTGTCAAAATTTTATGAAAATTAAACGAGCCAAACTAATTTTAGTCAAGATGTTTGGTACCACCTTAAACAAATATTATTCTTTATCATTTAAAAAATCATGGAAAATTTATTTGAAGTCTCACTTTTTTCTAAACTTTGTAGAAATGATACATTTATGATCAGTTTTTGAGAGTCATGCACAGCGACTAAAACAATAACCAAACATTGTTGCTACAATTACTAAAATTCCAAAATTGGACAAAAACTTCAGTAAAATGAGAATTAGTGAGCACTTGCAATTTGATTAGTCTTTGACAATTTTAAAATAATTATGTTCCATGTCAACATCCACAGACATTGCTGCCAGCATTACTAAAAACAAAAAAGTTTACAATAAATTCCAGAAAGAAAATTTCCCCAAAATTATATGCTACTTGAATTTGGTTATAAATACTGTTTTAATCCCCATTCCATTATTGTCGGGTAAAAACCCACCACAACCGTAAGATATTCTTCATTTGAAGCCTTACCATGCAGGGGCCGTAATATTACAGCCTCTATCCAAAATATCATTTTTTGGGTCCCATGGCTCTCTACATTTTTAAAGGTCAACTGTATGATATGTATTTCAAAATTGATTCATTTCCCCAAACCTTATGCTATTTATTGTCGTGTTTCTCAGGTTAAAGGTGCAGTTTGAGCCCAAAAACTAACTTCGATAAAAATGATTTTTCTGGACGGTGGCTGGGACACGCAGTACAGAGACCTAAAACTTCCAAAAAATAGTGTGAACCCACAGGCATTTAACTACTGATTGTTTTTATTGTTGAAATAAGCTTGATAATGACTACTTCCGGTTGCAAGTCCAGGGCCCTTGGTCATAAAACTTTATTTAGTACTCAAAGTATCAAATTCATCCAAATTTTTGGTGGAAATGACCTTCTTTAGACTACCATAATTAGATCAGGTTCACTCCCAACTCACCACTTTTGTTGTAAATTTTCGTTGGGGTCCACTCTACATGAAGACTACAGTGAGACACATCTATCAGCATCCCTCTGTCTTCCAGGTCAAAAACTAAGATGAAAAAATGTCAGAATTGCTTTTTGCACCTTATGACCAACTTTAAGGCAGAAATTTTTTTTGTGTTTAATGTTGAATTGTTTGTTAATAAGTGTGGCACCATTTAGATTTGACAATCTTTGACAGTGTTATTGAACTTTGATTGTGTAATACCTAATGTAACATAAAGACACTCTGTGAACTACCATACTTAGCAAACAAGATTATTGACAATTAACATAAATGGAAAAAATGTGATTATACCTAAGGATAGGAAAGTATTTACTTAAGATGTGACTTGGAAATAGCATTGTATTTTTTTTTGCAGACCAGTTTTGGAAAATGGGCATAAACAATTGAAAGATTTCATGCAAGAGATAGCCTCGTGTATTGAACAGCTGCCAGACTAAATTGATTTGTGCTAAATGGTGGCAATATCAATGATTGTAGAGGAAGCTTAGAATAAAAAGAAGTTCATGGTGTATGGATTTATTTCATCTGGTTAATGCTCATAGTTATTACTGTATCATACATACAGATGTATTCAAAATAATGTGTATATATATGGTGAAAGTTTCTAGAGCAAAAGTATGAAATGGATTGAATTTGAATATTATTTTGATTAAAAGGACTGGCTTTAAATTAAAAGTGTGAAGGTAGGTGGTGGAAAGATAATACCAAAATGATAGGGTGGTAGTGGAAAGGTATTCTCAAGGTATTTCAAGAGGAAATAGGGAATTATTCGAAAGAATATTGTTTTAGTTGTATAGTGTTGCTATATTTACAACAGCTGTATACATCTGATTACTTTTGAGCTTTTATTTCAGTTCAACAGTACCACTTGTATGCATCAGGATTCTCAAATTGTAAAAGAAGGTTTTGTATTGGTGAAATTTTTTGTTATTTTTTTAACCCGCAATATCTTTGTGCATCCTTCATGATACAACAGTTCCCTGCTGTTTTTATATTCGTGTAGACATAATATATACAATTTCTACAGGGGAAACATATTTTTTCTGGTTAGGCTGAGTCTAAAATGTATTTTTTGTCTAAAACGATGTGTGAAATAGCTGTTTTAGGTCAAATATGTCAATTTTGATATGTAGATGACAACACAACTGACATGGCATGCAAGGTTATTCTTGTCATCCTAAATGATCTACTTTAATATGACCATGCCACTTAGTGGATGGGACATATAGTGTAAATCATGTCTGTCTTGTCCCCCTGTCCTCCCAAAATCCAATAGTTGTCTGCACTTTAAGCTTGGCGATAGGGCCATGTAAGCTATTGTCATCACTGTGTTCCTCCACTGTTCATTATGTGACAATTTATATTTTCCATCATCAATGATGTTCCATTAAAACATTCCTGGGACCCAGTGAAGACACTTCCAAATCTCAAATATGTGTGGGGATTAGAGATTTTTTTTACAATGAAAATGAGAGAAAAATACTAAAATTGCATTTGTAACTATTGCAAGAAACACTTTTATTCTAATTACATTTTTCTCAGCAATACTTTTGGTAGAATGTAACCCCAAAGACCAGCTGTGATTGGGATCATTGACTTATTCATTGTCCATTTTTTGCGCAGTGTTCCCAAAAAGATTTTATTCCATTTTGGCAAACAGCTGCATATGACTTACAATGTTATGTTAAATGTTTGTTTTTCAACATATTTAAAGTGTGAATACACTGGAACAAAGGTAAGACTTGGTATTGGAAACTCTGAATGATGATGTTTCAGGGTTAATAGCATTTGTCTTCAACAATAGAAGGATGTCTAGACAAAACATCATGCTCCAAATGGCCCTCAGTCTTAAAGTTGTCACTACATTAGACAGAGACTGTCAGAGATCTGTCATCAACACTAAGTTCTCCAAATAACAATAGCATTAAGAAATAAGATATCCATTAATGAGGTTCCTTGCATTAGACAGGCACATGGGCACTATGCATGATTAGGGTTTTGAAATAGACAAATTTGAAATAATTCAGATATGGTGATTCAATTATCAAGCTTAATTCATTATTTGTCAGTTAAGCTTTACAATGAGTGTTTTGTTAAATGTTATTATTGATATTTTTCAGCAATATAGAAGTACATGCTGAAGGTAAATTTTATGTAAATATACAAAGGTCATGAACACATTTGAGATGACCAGTGATAACATTTATAGACTAGATATTGTCTTGTTATTAGTCAGTTTGTTTTCTGATGTGATACCTGTGTAAAAATATCTCATAACAAATATCGTAATGTCTAGATCAAGTTATATAAAACTAGAAAGAAGTTTTTACAAGTATATTAAGCAACCTTAATTTATCAAATGTAATAGTGAAATAGTGATGTTGTTAGGGAAATATGAAAAACGTTTTGTTGTGTAAACAATTCCATGGTATGAATAGAAATTTATAAAATACTGTTTGATATGCAACATCAAAGCATGCATTCGAAGTTTTGGAAAACTTGCAGCTCTTTTCATAATGCTAGCAAGGCAAAGGTTTGTTTGGCTTGCTTGCTTTGTTTGTATCAATGTTTACTCAAGCATTGTAATTAAGATTGACACCTGAAAACAACATAAAAAGGAGGATTTAAACTTGTATACATTATATTTAAATTTGATTGGACATTATCAAATAATCAAATTTACCTTTACACAGATTTAACTCCGCCTACTTATATTTTTGGCAGATGTCAATCTTAATTACAATGCTGGAGCAAACATTGATACAAACAAAGCAAGCAAGCCAAACAAACATTTGTCTTGCTAGAATTATGAAAGGGCTGTAATTAAAATTTTATGTAGGAAATAAGAATGATGTGAAAATTCTATACAGTACTGTAAAGGGACAATATAGTTTATAAATTGGTAATATAAGCTTTAATGTTAGATAAATCTAGGAAGCTTCAGATGAGACCTTTGATCAAACATAGAAAAAAGTGAAAATTTTAATGTTAATTCCAGTTTTTGTCTTGCTTGCAATACATTTTGGGAAGAAAAACCTAGTTTTACAGAGTTTTTAAAACAAAACCAAAGTAAAAATGAGTATATGTGAGCTTAATATTTCTTCTCAAGATATTTGTACATGTACTGTGATCCAATGTTTTGAATTTTTCTTTCTGTTATTAAAAAAAAAACCAAGACATTTGCAAAAAGTGTTATGAAATGAACATTGCTGTAAGGGTTGATCTGTATATGTATTTGGTTGTTTTTTTTTAAATAATTGTATGTTAGTAGAATTTCAACTATGGATATTGGTGCTATTTAAATGGGTTCAAAACAAAATGATGCATAATTGTGGTATATGTTATCAAAACTAATTCCTGTATGAGTGAAGGTTGTCAATTTGTTTATGTTCATTTTATTGTGAGTTAACACCAAACATCCAAAATAATCCAGGGTGGCTGTCAAGAATCTGTTTCTATGACTTGTCCATTGTCATCAGTGGATCCTTCATAAAACTCTTTGGGCTACTTCAAAAGAATTAGCTAAAGAAGTAGATCCGTTTCTGCCAGGTGTCTACCAAATGTTATTACAATTTGATAGTATATGCTCTCTGTTGCAATATAGACGTGTTGCTAAAGGCACATAATCCAGTGGGTACACAGGTTTTAGTTTTCATGAATTTAAAAAGCTTAGTTGTATCTACAGAAAAATGATTTGAAGACTGATTTTTAGGTATCACTTTGTAAAAATAACTTAAAAATATATTTTATTATGAATGAATATGGTGACCATTGCCAATTAACACTTAAGACCAATTCTGTAATACTGTGAGTACTTTACCATCATTTAACAAGATGACTGAATTAATGAACAACATGTACTGAGGTGTTTGAAGTGGGGAGGTTTTTTGCTTTTATTAGTGTAAAATGAATGTTATGAAAAGTTCTTTAATATGTTAATTGTTATGTCAGTACAAATATTGTTTTATCAAAGTATTGTTTCTGTTATGTTTAGTAAAGCTTTATTTATGTTGCTCATCCAACACATATTTTTGTCACATTTCTCCAGTACAACTGAATAGACTGGATTTATATTTTGTCAGCCAACTTGTCAGTGATGACTTCTAAGTGCTTTTTGGATCTGTCAAATACTTAGGGTACTTGTTTATCTGTACTATTAATTATGAGTGATAATAAACAATACATGCAACTTCTTGTTGTCATTGAAATGGCAAGTAAATCTTTGAAAACAAATCTTGATCACTACAGTTTAAAAAAATAATAATAATTTGCTGGACATGAGAATAATATTGTGTAGGATTTGCAATGTATTATAAATGAGATTGTTAAAGTTTACCTATGTATATACTGTAGAATATTTAATGTTGAACATTGCAGTGTTCAGAGGCAGTTAGGTATGTTCGCTCCTCTTGTTTTTGATTTTTTTGCCAGATATTCGGAATCCTCTGGTTTTATCCATGTAGTGCCATTAAAAATTTTGCCTGATGACTGCTACTTTTCTTTTCATAATTTTATTACATGTAGTTTAAAAAGCCATATTTGAAAATCTTACAAAAACCTTGTTATTTTTTCATTGTTTTTGAAAGAAAAAAGGTACCAATATTAAATGTATGAAGAAATCTAGAGAGAATCATTTCCCGCCAAATTTCAATGGCATATATGTCGAAAACAAGCACATGAACCCTTCATTTTTTTCAGCTTTTTTAGTTACTTTATTTATATACTATCAATTTATAACCTTCTTTTAAAAAGCTTGTTATTTTGAAACAGAGTAGCGAACATCCTTAACTTGCTTTCTTACCTGAAAGACCATCAATGGTAGCATCAACCTACCATTTGGCTGTTTTGTATCCTATAAAACTATATTAAATTATAGATTTTGAGAACATTTAGACCTACTTTGCTTTTTACCTCTGAAACATAGAAGGATTTAGTGAAAAAAAATCGTATGAATGGTGCAAAGAAAATGGACCATCATTCTTTACCTTTTCTGTTGCTTATTGCATTTTAAGAAGACTTAATATGCTTTTTTTGTGACTATGATGGGTAGAGGTAGATTAATATGCAGCATATGATATAGAAATTGTTTTATTGGAGACAGTAATATTATGTAGAAATAAGTTTCTTGAATGTAACTGAAGTTGCCTGATTTATGCAAGGGAAATTTAGTAAGGTTTGTTTAGAAAGGTTAGGAATGAGAATAGTTAGAGATACTTTTATTATAAGAGGGACACCATGCCTTAAGACTAGAGTAAGTTTTGTTTAGAAAGGTAAAGGGATGGAATTAGATTAAGACTATACAGTCCTTGGATGGTGTAAACTTCCCACTAACACCATACACCATTACACCATTCACCATACACCCTGTGCCATTACACCATACATGTTACACCTTTGCACCATACACCTTACACATTACACCATAATGCATTTTAATTTCAAAGAAAGAATGCGACTACAAAATTATTTATTTATTTTAAAAAACGAATTTTGATCACAAAATTGTAAATTAATGTATAAAATTAAAAATCAGTTCTTATCAATATTTTGCATAGTTTTAAATGTCGTACACCATTCATTCACACCATTCCCGATCCCACATTACACCATTCCCCTTACACCATACACCATAGCACCATACACCTTCTACCATTGCACCATATGCCATACACCATTACACCATACACGTTTTTTGGGAAGTTTACACCATCCAAGGGCTGTAGAAAATAAGAAAAT